CGCACATGAAGAGCAGCTCAGCTCCTAACAAAACACCAAGTTTAAAGAGGCCCCTGGCCTTTTTTCCTCCTCCCACTATTCCTCCCTTCTTTCTTCTTTGCTTTTCTTTTTTTTTTCTCCTTGCCCTCTGTTGCTTTTACTTCACCCTGGGGAAACATGCTCGCCTTATCTGCGCAGGAGGACCACCCAGGAAAGATGACTCAGGCATCGTTGTGCCTGTGTGACGCCGCGTGTATGTTTGTGTGCGCACGACGCAGTAACTGCGCACTCATTTGACTGCAGAGTGTAGCGCTCACATTTTTAGAACTTTTGCTGTTAATATTAATGCATGCCTACACCTGTATGGATCGCTCTGAGCGGTGTGTTTGTTGGTGCTTGTGTGCGCGTGTGCCTCGCTAATCCTTTGAGCCAAAGTTTGGAATGAAAGGCAGAGGCACTTTGCTGATGGAGAGGTGAGAGAGACCTCTAAGCCCCCAACCGATGTACCGTGCGCCAGAAGTAGAACCGCTGCCCCTATCTCTTCACTCCGGCCACGTGGGTTTTTTTTCTCCTTCATGTCCCTCCTCCTCTTCGGTATCTTGCTGTTTCTCATTTTTCACCTTTCTGAACTTTCTCTCCTCTTGCACTCTTCTGGATGTGGTCACATTTCTCTTGCTGTCTTCTCAAGCTAATCCTTTGCAATTTGCTTTTCTCACTTTCTTTTTTACACCTTTCACTTTCAGGCTTCCTTCGTTCATATCCCCTCCCAACATCTCTTCCTAAGGAAATCAGACCCCCCTCCTCCTCCTCCTCCTCCTCCTCCCTTACACCCCCATCCTCTCTTCCTGCCCTGTTTTCAATGATCCCAGTCTGCATGACTGATACAGACCATATCACCCTCAGCATCTGGAGACGTTTTTGCTGAATATTATACACATGGTCATTCATGTACTTACACACTCAGTACTAAAGAAAAGAACTGTGTGCGTATGTTGACTACTTGTGTGTATCTGCAGTACATGTTATATGTACAGCACAGAGTTACAACAGTGGAAGTTAGACTGAGAAAATGAAGAATCAATAATGAAGCACCAGTTGGAGGTTTTGTGTCTGAACAAGTGCCCTCATTGATTAAAGTCAAGGTCAGACAGACCATGCACATCAGCTTCAGCACAGTATCTGTTGCTAATTCGCTTAATATGAGCATTGTGTCTGACGGCAATAATGACTGAGTATCTGCAGATCTTTCTGACTCACAAAGCTGTACTGTTCATCTGCAGAAACATCCCATATGATTCTATTAATGAAGGAACCAGGGTTGAACTTTTGCACTTAGATTTGCTTTGAGTACATCAAACGTAGAACCCACAAGAAAGAGAAAAACACGTCACCAGTGAGGTCAACCTCACTTCCCAGAAGATGAGGTCGAGAAATGTTGTGTCACATTGCGGGGAATCACTAGTGGGACAGGAAGAGATGGGTGGGGTGTGATCTGTTAAGGACGCTTATCTATATTGTCTGCCACAGTGCTGTTTTAAGAATAGTTGTAGGTGACATTAGGGTCACAGTGGGTAGGTTTTACAAGATGATAGCAGACGTTTGCAGCTTAATCATAGACTGTATATAAGACATAGATGTAGCCAACTTGATGTAAGCCACTAGTTTTTGGTCTCTGTAGTTTGAAGCCTTCGTGTTTGCATTTTGATGGCAGCTATGCTGCTTTCTTTGCAGCCAGAAATGATAATTTTTAAAAGAAACAGTGCTGCTGTTACCGAGCCTGGTTAGTAAGACGCGGTTAGGTCCATATATATTTGGTAAAAGACAACTTTTTACCTCAATAAATTTTAAATTAAACAACTCAGATGCAGTGCAGACTTTCAGCTTTAATTCAGTGGCCTGAACAAAAAGATTGCATAAAAATCTGAGGGACTAAAGCATTTTTTAACATCGCTTCATTTCAGGGGCTCAAAAGTAATTGGACAGATTAAATACAGGAAAATAAAATGTTCATTTCTAATACTTGGTTAATACTCTATCCAAAGAACGTTTTTCCAGAACTGTGCTGGCTTTTTTAGATGTTGGGGTTTTGTTTTGTTTTTAGCCAAGTTCAATCTAGCCTTTCTATTCTTGGCACTTATGAGTGGCTTGCACCCTGCAGTGAACCCTCTGTATTTACCTTCATGCAGTCTTCTCTTTATAGTAGACTTGGATATTGATACGCCTACCTCCTGAGTTGTGTTGTTCACTTGGTGGGCTGTTGTGAAGGGGTTTCTCATGACCATAAAAATTATTCTCAATATCACTTCTTGGGAGTGTTTGTTAACATCACTAATAAAAGTGTATTTCTTAACATTGGGGCAAACACACTGGGGCATCCACCACTCTTGTCTTCTGTGGACCTCCAGGTGTTTTTGCGATGCTGAGTTCACCAATGCTTTCTTTCTTCCTCAGGATGTAATCTACATGCACTGTAGATTTTTCCACTTCTGATATTGTAGTAATATCTCAGATGGGTTTTTTCTGTTTTCACAGCTTTAGGATGGCTTGTTTTACCTGCATGGAGAGCTCCGTTGACCACATGTTGTCTGTTCACATCAAAATCTTCCAAATGCAAGCACCACACCTGAAATCAACTCCAGGCCTTTTAGCTGCTTAATTAATAATGACATAACAAAGGAATTGGCCACACCTGCCCATGAAAATAGCCTTTGAGTCAAATGTCCAATTACTTTTCCCTTTAAAAAGAGAGCGACACATGTTAAAGAGCTGGAACTCCTAAACCCTTCATCCAATTTGAAAGATGGGAGTCTACTCATTATATAACTATATTTGGAATATTTTTCAGTAAATGGGTATAAAAAAACAAAACTTGTGTCAGTGTCCAGATATGTACTTCACACAGAAGTACCTTGTGAACACTTTGTGTTACTGTGGGACACCGGATATGCCTGTAAATCTCGTCGTCTCTCTTTTCTAAAACTGTTAGAAGTTTGTCTCCAGCACAAACAGAAACGAAGGTACAGTCACTAAAAGAGCACTTGTTAAATGGGCCCCCTGTTGGGATGATGGTTAAAAAAAGAAATAACAGGGTGGGGGGTGGTAGAGTTACTACGAGTTTACAACATTATAAAATGAAGGTATGTAGGATATAAACCTTGTTTTTAAAAAGAAACACATTTTATTTGTGATATCACGGAAGAGAAGTGCTTTACCCACAATCCAAAGTTGAAATGGTCACTGTTACCATGGGAAAGTATTTTTTAAGATTTTTTTTTTCTACACTCTCCCAAATGTTTAATTCGTCTCAAGAGACCATCACCACAATAAGCTGTGCATCTCTCTCTGCCCCTCTCCTCCAAACCCACTCCCACCCAAAAATAAATACTAGTCCTTGCATGTCTTCTCTACACTACCACTACAGCTACTTAAAGCTCTTGTAATTCATGTCAACTCCACTGAAAATGCTTTTCTTAGTGTCACTGAGACTTTGATTCGTCAGTAAACAAAATGAAATGATGAAATCAAAGGCAAAGGCTTTCACAGAATGGAGATGTAGGCTACAGTGGGGTCGTGACTAGTTAAGAAATACCCTGATTAATAGGATAAGCATGCTGGAAATGGGCCGCCTTTCATGTTGAAGAGCTGAAACTGACCTCGGCGTGCTCTAGAGTCATGTTGGCCGATTAATGTGTGCTGAGGGGGGAAAATCCAGAAGCCTAAATGAAGCCTAAATCAGTGCACTTGAGGTTAGTTCACACTGTGTTTTAAATTAGTGAAAGAAAATGGTCATATATGAGATAAAATTGCCAAGAGGATCAGACACTGTGAAATCTGAGTGTATTCAGTATAAAAATCTAACTAACAAATCCGAGTCTCTGTTTCTTTCTTCCTTTTTTCTTTGTGGTGTAGTTTTCAGAGAAGCTCTACCTAAAAGTTCAACCCGGCCCTAAAGCCTTGCAGTCTGCGCGTGATTTATGTCAGTGGACTGAATCGTAGATCAGGCGGTCATGCCTATCACCTGGACTGCGTTTCCCTCAGCTCGGAGAATCAACAAGTCAACACCTGGCCTGCTCACTCAACTCCAGTGGGGGGGAGACACTGTGGATATTGATGTTAGCCAGTGCTACACTCACACTTCTTGGAGGTGTGTGTGCATGCAAGTGTAAATGCA